CTTGCCTCCTTGTGTCACCGGGCCCAACTCGCTCACGTTCACCTCAATGACAGTACATTTGGTGATAACATACTACAAAGTTGTATGTAGTGGGGATGAGGGGTTCTTCTTTACACCAAGTATTGGCAGGCAAAAGGTTGCTTTCAGTTCAGGATGTGTTATGTAGACTTTCTTGAAACATAAGCCCATTGGCCTAATGAATCTTTCATATTTAGGTGGTTTTCTAGTAAAGCCATCTCCAACAAAGCAGACTATAACCATCCTCTTCCATGCCTTCTTCTTTTTCTTTCCTGTTTGAATAACTTTTAAGACTTCTGTTTCTCCCTGAGCTCAAACTTTGGGTAGCAGGGCTTCCCATTTTCCTGCCTTTTCTCCCTGTTTTTGTTTAATCATACTGGAAAGTACTTTAGCTTGGGACTGTCCTTCTCTGTCCAACAGATAGGCAGGGACCACTCATTGTGGAGTCTTTTCATCGTTCTTCTGTTTGGTGTTCCTCTTTTCATGCATCTTGTTCATCTTTTTCATCTGTGTTTTCTCAGCTTGGCGCTGTTTATGACAGAGCTTAGCCTTCAGACCAATCATCTTTTTTTGCCTTCTTTGAACGTTCATGAGCTTCCTGACTTTCCTTCTTTCTCTTTTTCTCATGGTATTCCAAACGGTATTGATAGCATTTACAATGTGATTCAGTATATTCGTTTTGTGGCACGGTGACAGCTGCAGAGTCATGGGGAGCAGCCTCCCAGATGCAAAGAAGTTGTCAACTTTCAGGACTCAAAGATCAACCTCCATTCTCTTCTTGAGATTTGGGCACGCGCACATACACTCGCTCAGCCTGAGTTTTGTGTTTTTTGTTTTGTTTTGTTTGTTTGTTTGGGTTTTTTTTTTTTTTTTGAGAGGTTTTTTTTCTATAGTGCATGTGCACTCACCAGAAAGACAGAGAGAGACAGAAAGTGAGAAATAACCTTCCAGGGGGATGGCCATGCTGCAGTCCCTTCTCTTCCATTTTCCTCTTGGGATCCTGGGCATGCACACACACGTGCCCGGCATGAGTTTAAGCCAATGGATCTGGGACTTGAACCACAGTTGACTACATGGGGTCCAGTGATGTACCCATTACACCATCTCCTGGTCCTGCCCAGCATGAGTTTTAAACCGCTGGGTCTAGGACTCAAACCATGATCGACTATTTGGGTGCCAAGAAATGTAACCATTACACCATCTGCTGGTCTCATATTGATGTGTTTTTAAGATTGATAAACACAAATGTTTTACTATGATTAGTTTTCTTTCTTGGTATTTTCACTGAATTATGGGATTAATCTGAAGTTAGTGTTGGGAGACCAAATTACTGTAGTTGCCATACTCACAGTGAAAAAATTTTGATCGAATGAGAAATAACCAGTACAAGTATCTAAAGTGTATGTTTGATATCTATTTAAAACATACCTAGAATCTGTGGCATTCAGCTTTGTATATGTTACCAGTTCCAGGTCAGCACGTTATTTTTAAACCATTAAAAAATACAGTTCAAGGGTGTAGGTACCATGGAATGTGACACAGACACAGAAACACATGCTTCATCTCAATGACTGTCAATGATGTCATTCTCTGCCTTCTTTTGTAGGTTATCAGCACAGTGTTACATTAAGTATTAGTGAAAATACTTCAAAGCAATCTTTTTGAAAATGCACTATAAACAAAACAAAATCAAAACAAAAAACCAGGCTAACCTGTGCCCTGGTAGTTAAGGTGATTGGATCCCACATGGCCAACTGTGTGTTCCTAATCTTGGACCTGGCAGTTTGAGAAACACACCACACACCAGGGGTGTGTGTGTGTGTGTGTGTGTGTGTGTGTGTGTGCGCCCTAAATCCTGAAAGGAGAGAGGAATAGAGATGGTACTGTGGTGTGACCATCCCCCATAAAGTATGCTTTCTCTATGTATGTATGTGTATATACACACACATACACACACACATAACCTGTTTCTGGAGAGTGCATGTGTCTTTTGGCAAATTTTTAAAGTTTTCCTTGGAAAATAATAAATTATGAAGATTATAATGTGAAAAATTATAACATGAAGGAAATTAATTTGCTCACATTATTGATAGCCAACTAAAACTTGGGAGTTCTTATTAATCAGACAGAATAAAGAATATTCTGGCCTCACCACAGTGTATAAGCAGTAGGAGTGCTGCTGGCAAGCAAATGAGAAGGCTCTAGTTCATGTCCTAGATCTACCTCAACACACTTTCATCCTGGCTTACTGTTGGGCTAAAGGGAAAATTATATTATGAAGAGCCTGTCAAAGATGTCTCTCTCTCTCCCCACCTTTCTCAAGAAATAAAGAAGTAAACATTGTTTTTAAAGCATATTTTGACTCTCAAAGCAAATATGTAAGTCTTGCTTGAAAAAGAAGCAAGGTGGTGGTATAGTGGTTAAGATAGTGGACTCGGGACCAGCAGTTAGCATAATGGCTATGTCACTGGACTCCCATGTAGTTGATCGCGGTTCGAGTCCCGGACCTGGTGGCTTAAACTCACGCCAGGTGTGTGTGCGTGCGTGCCCAAGATCCTGAGCGGAGAATGGAGGAGAAGGGATTGTGGCGTGGCCATCCCCCCTGAGGTGTAATTTCTCGCTTTCTGTCTCTCTGTCTCTCTCTGTCTTTCTGGTGAGCGCACGCACTCTGTAGAGAAAACCTCTCCCAAAAAAGAAAAAGAAAAAAAAAAAAAAAGATAGTGGACTCAAATATGTCTGACAGCAATTCAAGTCCCGGACCCAGTAGCTTGAAGCTCTCACAAATGTATGCACATGCATCCCCAAAATCCCAAAAGGAGAATGGAGGAGAAGGGATTGTGGTATGGTCATCCCCCATGGTAGGGATGATTTCTGGGTTTCTGTCTTTGTTTCTCTCTGTCTTTCCAGGGAATGCCCACACCTTATAGTGAAATAAATAAATAAACAAACAAATGAGCCAATATCTTTGGTTAGAAGAAAATTGCACTTTTAATAACTAATTGGGGAAATAAAATTAATTTCCATATTTATCTGATGACTATCTATCTGTAGCTACACATGAAAACAAATTTAAATTTAAAAAATTTTTGACTGGTCGCATAGCACAGCAGTTAAGCCATGTATAGGGAGTCAGACCCCACATGGCCAACAGTGACTGGAATCCTTCCTCCCCACCTCCACCACAATGGCTTGAAAATCATGTCAGGCACCCAAGTGTGCATGCCCCAAATTCTGACAGGATGGAGAAATAGAAAAAAGATTGTGACATGACCATGCCCCATCAGGTGGGTGCTGCGTCTCTCTCTCTCTCTCTCTCTCTCTCTCTCTCTCTCTCGCAAGTGTACAAGCCCTCTGGCAATTAAAAATAATTTTGGAAAATTGTTTAGGAAACACTACCTGAATTTAGTTATTATTAAATGAGAAACAGTAAACAAGACTAGTTCCTTTTAAAACCATAATAGACATTGTCTTATAACATAATTTTGATAGTTAAAACTATACCTATGAACATATATGATAAATTCAGTGTATATTCATTCCATCACATACAATTTACTTAAAAGCCTATATTTACATCTGGTTTACAAAACAATTTGTTATCTGTACATGTCTACAATTAGATTTCATTTTATTTTTTTAATTGTCAGAGGGTGTGTGTACTTGACACAGAGAGACAGAGGAAGAAAGCATTCCCCAGTACCTCCAAAGGGGCATGGTCACACCACAGTCTCATCTACTTCATTTCCTCCTGTGGGAATTTTGGGCACACACACACACACACATACACACACACACACATACACATCCCTAGGGTGTTTTTCAAGTCACCTGGGCCAAGATTTGAACCATGACTGGCCACATGGAATATAGCTTCCTTTACCACCAGGCTATGGGGCCAGTCCTATAGATTTTATTTTGCTTTAGGAAAGCCTGATCCTAAGCAATGTTCTCAATTTCCTCCCAGTATCCTATCTCTTATCACAGCAACATTGCAATAATGAATATAGACCCCCCTAAACAGAGGTAGAGACTCCTCAGTGGAGTAGAAACCTGGTTAAAATGTGATCAACCTCATTTAAGTAATATGATAGAAAATTATCAGTGATGGTGAGACTAACTACACTGATAGGTTTTTCTGTAGAATAAGAAGTGACTTCAAAAAGTTTGTGGATGAAAGAAAGTATGAATTTATTTTGGTGCAAAAAAGTTGAAAGTCATACATGTTTTTTGTTTGTTTGTTTTGTTTGTTTGTTTGTTTTAAAGAGGTTTTTGTCTTAGGGCACACGCACTTGCAGGAGAGAGACAGAGACAGTGAGAAGGAAAGTGAGAAATCACCCCCCACAGAGATGGCCATGCCTTTAATCCCTTCTCTTCCATTCTCCTCCTGAGATCTTGAGCACGCACATACATGCCCAGTGTGAGTTTCAAGCCACTACGTCTGCGATTCAAACCAGAGTCAATTATGTGGGAGTCCAGCAATATAACCACTATTGTGATTCCATACATGTTTTTAATATTTATTTTCCAAGAACTTTTGGAAGAAATTTTAATATTTTTATTAATTTAATTATTTATCGTTGTTGTAATTATATTAATTTTTATTAATATTTTCAATATTTTTATATTAAATAAAATATTCTGTATTGGAAAAATATATTTACCTTTAAAAAATTTTGCCACAGGGCATATATGCTTACTGGAGAGAAAGAGAGAGAAAGAAAGTAAGAAAGCAGAAAGCACCCCCATGGAGAATGGTCACTACAATCCCGTCTCTTCCTTCTTTCCCTTCTCTCAGGATTTCGGCACACATGCACATGCACCTGGTGTGTTTTTTAAACTGGCGGGTCCTGGACTCCAGTGGTGCAGTTGGCCATGTGGAATTCAGCCACACTTAACAACCAGGACACAGGCCTCAAATACATTCTTTTTTTTTTTTTTTTTTTTTAATAATAATTTGATGTTTTATTTGTACAGGAGGGGGCTCAGTCCTTCTTGGCAGAGGCTTTCTGAAAGGCAGCCAGGATGTTACTTGGCTCCTCAAGCTTCCTCTTGGCATCTGTGTGTGTCCCTACCCTTTTCTTGATAAACTTGAGAACACACTTGTCCTTGGAGATCTTGAGCAGCTCCAAGGTGTGCCTCTTATTCAGGACGAAGCCACACACCTCCCAGATCATATTGTGTATGAACTTAGCGTGCTTGGTGAGGCGCCTGCTGCTGCATCCCTGCCTCAGCTTGCTCACGTTCTTGGTCACTGTGTGGCCGTCGTTCAGGCTCATGTCCATGGGGGAGCACAGAGCCATCATGGCTACAGCTTTCCAATAGCCCCTGAGACGGAAGGCAACATTCACTTTCAGGACCAGTAGATGGCGTAAAGGTCACTTTTTAAAATACGTGTTCTGTGTGTGCAGTAGTCAGTGTGTTCAAAAGGATTACTGATTTCTGAGAAAATATTCCTCAAACATGGCAACAAAAAGTTCTCTGCTTTAAGCCCTGCTGCTTCCCTTACATTAAATCTTATCCAAAATATTCAGAAGAAAATCATCCCAAAGAGTAACGGAAAGACATATGAAAATATTTCCAGAAAATAAAAATTATACCATCTAGTAGATTGTACCAGTAAGTGCAATATATTTTGGAGAGAGAAAGGTTTACTTTTATATGGCCATTCTTTAAGTTTTATACTAAAATACTGCTTAGCAATGAAAATAAAAATGATTGCTCTTGTCCCACATATAATGTCTACTATCATAACAATGACAGGTTGGCCTTTGCTGTGGAAGTCAGGGAAGTGTGGCCAAACATCGACATTAGAGAAAGGTGCCCATTTCTACCCTTTTCTGATGCTGAATTGTATAGCTTGACTTTAATTGCGTTTTGTTTTGTTCTTTTTAAGTTTTTCACGACTTTCAGGTGAGTTTTAGTGTGATTTGTAATCTAGTAAAATAAACAAGTAAATGAACAAGAACAAAAAGGTTCTGGACTGGCCCTGTGGTCTAGTGGTTAAGGGAACTGGATCCCACATGGCCTTAATTCCCACATGGTAAGAACCCTGGCCCTGGAGGCTTGAAAAACATGCTGAGCATGTGTTTATGCTCAATATCACCAAAGGAGGGAGAAATGTAGAGATGGAGTGTGACCAACCCCCTTTGGGAGATACTTTCCTTTTTGTCTCTCTGTCAGCTGATCTCTCTCTTGCAAGTGCATATACCCTCTAGCAAAAAAACACACACATGGTGGGTACAGAGAAAAAAGAAATACTGATTTTTTTTTTCTGGAAGAAAAGAATATCATCCAAAAGATACTATCAGTGTTGATTCTGTTATAAAGAATCATTTCCTCATAAAAACATGTGTCTGTGTGCACGAGAGAGAGATTAAATACTAAAACAAGTAAATTTATCATGTTCCAAACAAATATGTTCAAATTATTTCTCACTGTATGTTTCAACTCTATTCTGTCTTCCCGCAGACTTAAACATTTATTTATTTACTGTATGTTTTTCAATCAAAAGGTCTTCCAAAAACTTATCCAAACTGCTAAGGGGTGGAAAAAACAAATGACCTTCCCCAGAAGGATTCATTTAGTTTCCCATGTTTGTTGTTTCTTTTATTCTAATAATATCCTTGACTACTATACTTCCTCTCACCAAAACTAATTTGTCTCATAGTCCTCCCCGAATTTAAATTAATTCTTCTATTGGTTCTTCAACCAAATACATTTTTCCCCACTAGTTGTATTGTTCAATTATGGGAAGAGAATGCATGTCTTAGCTTTTGGTTTTTGGCCCTGCATTATTTCTTCCTTTGAGGAGATCATTTCCTTACTCCCTATTTCAAATTAATGATATTCAGTCAAAGCATTAGGATGAACCCAGTCTTCTCTGACTAAAGTGAGAGCAAGTGGTCCGGGTCTCACCAGGGCTCTGATGTCCACTCCCTAGATGTATGACTTTGGGTAAATTAAGAAACTTTTCTGTGACTTTATTTTCCATCTCTAAAATGGGGCAATGATAAGATCTATCTCACAGAGCTGTTGTGAAGATTAAGGAGTTAATGACCACATAGTAAATCTTTAATGCACTGTTACCAGTATTATGACTTTGATAGGACTAATTGCTATTTCAGTTGCCAGTCACCTTTGGGCTGTCAGATGGAGAGAGTGTATACAATTACGATGCCAAAATTAGGCAAGTGGAATCAAGATTGGAAAACAAAGTCTTTGAACCCTAGACCCAGCTGAGTCTAGAACCAGTCCCTAGATTTTCAAGTATGTGAGCCAATGAAATAGCAACCCCCCCCCTTTCATATGTTTCTTTTCTTTTCTTTTTCTTTCTTTTTTTTTTTTTTTTGAGAGAGGTTTTTGCTATAGGGCACGTGTACTCACTAGAAAGGCAGAGAGAGACAGAGAGACAGAAAGTGAGAAATCACCCCCCAGGAGGGATGGTCATGCCACAATCCCTTCTCCTCCATTCTCCTCTCAGGATCTTGGGCATGCACGCACACATACTCGGTGTGAGTTTAAGCCCCTGGGTCTGGGACTCAAACCATGGTTGACTACGTGGGAGTCCAGAGACATAGCCATTATGCTAACTGCTGGTCCCTGAATCTTATGTTTCTTACATGTAACTAAAAGAAATACTAATACAAAGTGTAAGTTTGTCTATAGGGTTAAGTGTTTCTTGTTGTTTGCATCTTATTTGCTTTTGCTCCTAAGGTAGATCAACAAATTTTAGATAAAAGGTAATATAGGATTCTCTGCCTAAGCAGACAGCCTGGGTAGGAAATTATTTAAAACATAAAAAGAGCAACAACAACAAAATTATTTTAAACTTTCCTTTAAGACTATCTAAGAAGAGAAGTCTACATAGAGTCACAATGTGATTTTCTTAAAAATATTATGACACCAAAATTATTAGTTTTCATTTTCATCTAAGATCTTTATTCTCTACTGTTCTTGATCCTATTGAAACATTTCAGTATATCAAAACACTGCAATGTTAGTACCCAAGATAAAAGCCATTGTATGCTGATCATTATGATTGATGTGGTACAATTTTAAAAATAAAACTATCATGCCCTTTCAAAAAAAAAAAAAAAGAACAAAGATATTATGTAGCTAAATCTGGCCCTCCTCCAACTTTCTAGTGTCATAAATTTTATGTCTGGGAGGAAATTCTCAAAACAAAGATGGACTATTTCTGTGTTTTCAAATATGGCACCATATCAGCATCATCTTGGTGTTTTCATCGTCTTGGATCTGTTCCTCTCACGTTGTGATTTGGTGGGTTTGCCATGCTCTGCAAGCTCTTGCCTTTCACAAAGCTCAGGTAGCCTTAATAAAGTGTACTGTGGTCTCCCAGATTGATGGAGAATCCAAGTCCTAGACTGATGCAGGAATTAGGTTTCCTCAGTACAGCTACTGAGGCAAAGCTAGAATTAGAACCCAGTGCTTTAATTGCCAAATCAAAAGTCTTGCTATGTTACCATACTGCCTGAATCAGAATTATTATAGTTGTCATCTCTTAAGCCAGCTTCTCAGCATCACTTATCTGTTCTTCAGTTCTGAGAAGGGGAAAGAGAGAGAGAAAATCTCTGGATTTTCTGAAGTCAATTCCACCACTGGGATTACTGATGACATTAATAAATTGTGTTTGCTTTTTTTTTTAATATAGTGTGTATATTGATATATATTTTTAAATTGCCAGAGGGCATGTGCACTTGCCATAGAGAGACAGATAGAAAGAAGGAGAAAGCACCCAAATAGGGTGTGGTCGTGCTGCAATCCCTTCTCCTCCATTTCTCCATCCTGTTAGGATTTCAGACATGCATGCACATCTTGCCAGTGTAGTTTTCCAGTCCCCAGAGCCACATGGAATCCAGCTTCTTTAACCACTAAGTACAGGGCTAGCCCAGATTCTAAAATTCTCATATTTTCTGAAGGCAATTTCAATTTATACCTATTCTCAGTGCTCAGTGGTATAAAGACACTAGTTGGATGAACTCACCACTTACTGGCTTGGCCTGTAAGTTCTCTAGTATCATAATGTGGTCATTTTGCTGGTCTTGGGACAGTAAAATGTAAGAGTTTGCAACACCAGCAAGCTCAACACTTCACAACACCAGCAAGCATGACACTGGTATGCCAGATTTAACCTTTACTTCTTGATTAAAGTAAATTCCCCAGAGTCTATTTAAAAATGTCTTCCTAGGTGTGGGTAACTTAGGATCATAGGTCATGAACTAAATCAGAAGGTAACCAGAGACCTACAAGTATACATGAGTGCTTCCTTTGCTCCCAATGGATAACCAAACCTTCCAGCATTCTATCTTTGAAACAATGAGTAAGCAAAATGTGTTATTGAAAGTACTAGTTATGATGTCATTATGCTGGAGTAATTGCCTCTGTCCAGGAACATTTCTGAATGGGCTCACTCACTTATAAAGACTTTGCAATCCTTGAACTGTTTTACACAGGAAATGTGTGTTTGATTTGAATAAGGAGAATGAGAAGAAATAGAATTATGAATGTGGGATAAGGGGGAGAAGGATGGAGGGCTAAGATGCATGTCCCCAAGTGCTGGCCTTAGGCAAAACCAGAGCAATGAAAAACTCCTAGGGTGCTAGCTGGATGACTTTTTATAATGGGGGGATGAGTAATATTTAATTTCCATTCATTTCATAAATTCATAATTTATGAATGCCATTGCCTGTGTAGAATTTGAATGTGGGTTGTCTGCTCCACACCCACGACATCCCTTCATTGCCCTGTGTGAGTGGGTTAGGGGTGGGGTTAGGAGTGTGGTCTAAGCTACATTAGCACTGCAGAGGTAAGAGGTCAGTTCTGCAGAAGGACAGTTCAGGTGGTGGGAAAAACAAAAAGAAAACACACACACACACACACACACACACACACAAACACACACACACACACACACACAGAGTACAATGTTACTCTAAGTGTATGTTCTTCAGGATCCAGACATCTTAGATTTAGGAATATTATAATTCCTATGGAAAGCAAGATGAATTAGAACTAATTTTATTTGAATTTCAGAGGACAAAATGAACGTCTTCTGTTGTTATCTGGGTTCTACCTAGAATGTAAGTGTCTCTTGTAGTTCTTCCCAAATGACCTCCTTGTAAATAGATCCTTTGAAAGTTTTGTTTGTTTTGTTTTGTTTTTGTTTTTGTTTTTGGAGAGGTTTTTGCAATAGGGCACATGCACTCGCCAGAAAGACAGAACTAGAGACCGAGAGATAGAAAGTGAGAAACCACCCCCAAGGGTGGATGGCGACATCTTA